CGTAACGCGAGCCTGAAGCCATTGGTAGAAAACTATGCCTGATACAAAACTAAACAATGATCCAATCCAGATGCCCAAAACGTTCTAACTCCACTAGACCTTTGACAATACGCTCGAAGTTCTGTCCAAGTCCACTAAACTTGACCTTTCCAAACTCCTTGCAAAACCAGTCGATGTTTTGTTGTTGGCTGCGGGTCCACGAAGAGCCGTTCTCAATGTTGTCGAGTATCCACTCAAGCCTGTTGTCGAGTATCCACTCAAGCCTGTCGCCGATGCGTTGAAGGGCGAGCTGATGGTCATGGGGGATGTCAAGTAACTGGTCCTTGCGATCGAAGATGGCCTGTAGTCTTTTGATGACGGCACTGACCTTAGAGCCTACAATGGCAAGGAGATCGATGGGATCGCGGCGTGCGAAGGAGGGGATAGGTGGTGCAGATATACGGTACTGGAGAGGGACTGTAGGGGTGGATGGGACAAAGACTGGTGGCGGTGTGGTGAGACGTGCCGCGAGCGGTCTGTTGAGCGGCTGACTAGGGGGCACAGATGGTAGGAGGGCCTTGCGACGAGGGACGATCGGGGTATGCCGATACTGACGGCGATGACGAAGATGATCTGATGTATCGTCCGCAAGGGCGTGGTCAATCTGAGACTGGACGTCGAGGTGACCGTGTCTCTTAAAGTGACGACAGGTAAACTCCGGTAGGTCCGAGTCGGATGGAAGGATAGTGGGGGGGGATGATAAATGTTTCAAAAAACTCCTGGGGGAAGAGATCCGGTCCGAAAGTGGTTGAGACACTCCACGGAGGGGATGGGTAAGAGACTTGATCTTATGTCACAGCCAACGAGCTGTGCCACCAGACAAACAAAGACAAAGCTTACTGGTGAAGGGGTTGGTGCTGAGAGCGAAGCAACCACAAGTGACACAGCAAGAGGTGATGCAAAGAAGTAGATTCTCTAGACTAGAAGGGGCAGTGGGAGGTAGGGCTGCTAGCTACCTACAGAGGAGATGGGTGATCGACGAGAAGATCAAGTCTGAGGTTCCCTGCCTCAGACTCCCTACTATATATACTAATACAATGGTGCACAGACCAGGTACCTATTGACCATCGTTTGATCAGAGTTCTCTGCCTCATGTTCTACCCTCTGACCTACCTCATGGTGGCCTTACGACTAATACCTGAGTCGTACCGGGTCCGGACCCCTTCCAATGAGTAAGCGCTCCTGCTGTCACATCAGTCACCTGCCAGTGAGTGAGGATGGGCGCTCCTGGCTGTCACGAGGTCTGGGGTTCGATCCTGGCCCCTCCACTTTCCGATACGAGTTGTCCGCGGTCAAGGTGAGCGTCTGTCCCAGTACACATGACCCCCAGGTCACGTGGCATAAGAAAACTGTGACAGTACACGGACTTGGGGCCAAGTACACGGACTTGGGGCCAAGTACACGGACTTGAGTCCAAGTACACGGACTTGAGTCCCATGAACTTGGGCCAAAGTATGGTGTTGGAGTGCGTACGGCGAGGCAAGTGTGGTGCCAGCCTCGGCCGTGTTTCGGGCGGACAAGTCTTGTCGCGCCGTTGACCTGCCTTGTCCCGCCTTGTCCCGCCTTGGCGGATTCACCCCGTTTTGTTTACGAATGCCACGTCTCACTCATCTTGTAGTACGGACGTCTTGTTACAAATGTGTACTTAACTCTTTCGATTCACATTGGCTCACCTCAGTCCCGCGTATAACGCGTGCTGAGGTGAGCGTATGCTTGTTACTTATTCTACTTACTCATACTGATTAATACGCTGTAGTTACATTGCTATAGGTATTACAAATATACTAGTCCCGCGTATAACACGTGCTGAGTTACATTGCTATAGGTTATGAGCCCTGCCTTCTAAGGCAGACTTCAGGCACTAGAAACTTACCCCTATAGGCTACCCCTCCTCCCCAAAATGGCGTCCATCAAGCTTACTGACGATGTCATCCGAGTTCCTAAACTCGACGTCAGCGGCACCAACTGGGTGTTGTACAAGGAGCGCCTTACCTGGGCAGCCGACGCGAAAGGGCTCGCTGGACATCTCGACGGTGCGGTCCAGGAACCAAATGCACCGCCGTCGCCAGCTACACTCGCATCAGTCACGCAAACCGCACCCGCGACAGGTGCGACGACCGCCGCGGCAGGTGCGACAATCACCCCCGCTATGACGCCGGATCCTGCGCAGGTGGCGTACGAGGCAGAGCTCGCTACATGGAAGAAGGGTGAGGCCATTGTCAAGCAGCTCATCGCGAGCACGATCCCGGACTCACTCTTCATGAAAGTCCGATCAAAGGGGACCGCGCGTGACATCTGGGACGCGCTTGCTGCGGAGTTCCAGCAGCGCTCGCGCATGGTCTCGCTTGACCTGCGCCGGCGGCTTCAAGAGCAGCGCTGTGGGGACAAGGCGGACGTCAGAGCTCACTTCGCCAAACTTCGAGTCATGTACGAAGACTTAGCTGCGATGGGCCACACCCCCGAGGACGACGACTTCTACGCGATCATCCTGGGCTCCATGCCAAATGCCTTCGAAACATTCATCTCCTCCCTTACAGCCACGTCGACCATCACCGGCACCATTTTGACGCCCGAGCAACTGATGGCGGCCCTCACGGACGAGGCCGATCGGCGCGCCTTGCGCACCAAATCGGGACGCTCGAATGGCGACGCAAACGACGTCGCGTTGTCCGCGAACGAGAAGGGGGCCAAGGGGAAGAAGAAGAATGTCGAGTGCTTCAACTGTAAGAAGAGGGGGCACTACAAGTCCGAGTGCTGGGCACCAGGCGGCGGAAAGGAAGGCCAAGGTCCGAAGGATGCGAAAAAGGCCAAGGACAAGCCGGTGGATAAGGATGATGCCGCTGCCGCCAAGGAGAAGAGGAAGGACGAGGCCTGGTTCGTATGCGCCACGCTAGACGACGACGACGACTCCATGCTGGACCTCCAGACCGTCTCGGACTCTTCAGTTGAAGAGGCTGAGGAGCTCGACAACGACGACACCTGGAAGGACTACGTCAGTCACGCTGGCGCGATGCTCGCCAAGGGACCTACCGGCCAACATGAGTTGATCTTCGACTCAGGCGCGTCAAGCCATATGTCTCCGCACTTGGACCACTTTGTTAGCTACCGCCCTATACAAGCAAAGCCTGTCGTCGCCGCGGACAACCACACATTTCGCGGCATCGGGCGCGGCGATATGTACGTCACCGTCCCCTGCAACGACGATGGAACGGCTACGACGCGGGTCCTCCTCCGAAACGTTCTGCACACACCCGCGCTGGATGTAACACTGGTGTCCATCGGGCGCATCACGGCTGCAGGCTCCTCGGTGTCATTCCATAGCGGGGGCTGCCGCATCTTGAACCCTGATGGGGAAATCGTCGCGTCGATCCCGCTCGAGCGCGGTTTGTACCGCACGACCATGGGCGAGGAAACCGTCTTGATGGCCAAGGAAGGGCGCGCGAACACGGACGCGGACCCCACGACGACACGCGCCGTCACGCTCAATGAGGCGCACCAAATGCTTGGCCATGTCTCGTACGACGTCGCCTGGCGGGCGATCACCAGAGGGCTGGTGAAGGGGGTCCGACTGATCCCTGGAAGCAAGCCGTCCGTCTGCGAGGCCTGCGAGGCCGGGAAAATGTCGCGGAAGCCCATCGCGCGAGAATGAGTCCGACCGCGTGCCACCGAAATTGGCGGAGAGGTCCATTCGGACGTGTGGGGACCAGCACCGACAGAAACCTTGGGGCGACGCCGCTACAAGTCGCTCTTCATTGATGACAAGAGCCGGTACGCACTGTCCTACCTCCAGCGCACGAAGGACGAGACCTTTGGATCATACAAGGCCACGGAGGCCTTCTACAGGACCCAGAAGGGGGTGCCGATCAAGTGCCTGCACACTGATCGAGGAGGAGAGTACCTGTCAAATGAATTTTCAGAGCACCTTGCCGCGCATGGAACCATACGAAAATTGACAACTCACGACACACCCGAGTACGATGGCGTGGCTGAGCGAGCCAACCGGACAATCTTCGAGAAAGTACGGGCCATGCTGAACGACAGTGGCCTTCCGAAAGCCCTTTGGGGTGAAGCGGCGACCTACGCTGTGTATGTGAAAAACCGCACACCAACACGGGCGCTCGATGGGATGACCCCGTACGAGGCGTTCTGGGGTGACAAGCCGAATGTCGCGCACCTCCACCCCTGGGGCTGCGAGGTCCGAATCCACTCACCCGGCGGGTCGAAGCTGGCGGCGAGGGCACAGACGGGACGGTGGGTCGGGTGGGACGAGGCGACCGACGCGCATCGCGTCTACTGGCCCGATCGCCGCATCGTCACGGTTGAGCGCAGCGTGCGCTTCAAGCCGGACAACAACAACGTCGAGGTGGAGCTCGAGGGGGAGCAAGATCAGCAAACCGAGGGACAACAAGAAGAAACGCACCTGAATAACGGCGAGCTCGTCCCTACGACGTCCCCCGTCGGCGCTTATGCTGACCCCACTACTCCTGTTGGCACTGATGCCGACCCCACCACTCCTTCCGCTGAAGGCTTGTCGCGCGATCCGGCGGACGTGACGTGCGATCCTGTCGCTACAAGTGGTCGACCGCGACGTGTCCGAAAGGAGTCGGACTATGTCAGAAGGTTGAGGAGCGGCGAAGGAAGCACGGATGGGCGAGGACGGACCACGCTGCCAAGAGGAATGTCGAGCGCGACATTGCAGGAGGTGGGGGAAGAAGAGGGGTCCGGGATGTTGTCGCGCGAGGAACGGGAGGAATGGGAGATGGTGGAGATGGCCATGGCCGCTGCCACCGGAGACGCGGAATGCATCGATCCCACCTACGTGGAAGCGAAGAAGCACCCGGACTGGCCGAAGTGGCAACAGGCCATCAAGGCCAAGCTCGACTCACTCACCTCCAACGGCACCTGGCACCTTGTCCCGCACCCCAAGACCGGCAACGTTGTGGACAGCAAATGGGTCCTGCGCATCAAGAAGAACGCGGCCGGCGAGATTGACAAGTACAAGGCGCGCCTTGTCGTGCGCGGCTTCACGCAAGTGTACGGTGTCGACTACTACGAAACTTTTGCCCCTGTCGCTCGTCTCTCCTCCTTCCGCCTCATCCTCGCCACCGCTGCTCGCAACAATTGGCCCGCCGACTCTTTTGATTTCAACAGCGCGTACCTCAACTCTACCCTCGAGGAGGACGTCTATCTCGAACAACCCCTGGACCACGAATTTGCGGACTGCCGCAAATACGTCTTGAAGCTCGACAAAGTGTTGTACGGGTTGAAGCAGGGCGGTCGAAAATGGTACGATACCCTATGCGCCGCACTCGCTGACCTAGGCTTCACGCGCACAGAGGCCGACTACGGCATGTTCTACAAGCGCGACAACAATCACCTCATCATTCTCGCTATCCACGTCAACGATTGCCTGATCGCAGGTGATTCCCGCCCCTCCGTCGACAACTACAAGAAGCGTATCACGACTAAGTACAAGCTCACGGATCTGGGTCCGATAAGCTGGCTTCTAGGTATCAAGGTCAGCCGCGATTTTGTCGCACACACACTCTCCTTGTCGCAACACTCGTATATCGATGCCATCGTCACACGCTTCAATTTCGACGACCTCAAGCCCATTTTGACCCCGATGGACCCTCACGTCATGCTCTCCAAGGCCCAGTGCCCGGAAAGTGCGATCGATGTCGCGCGCATGAAGCGCGTCCCGTATCGAGAGGCCATCGGCGCACTGATGTATGCCGCGCTAGGCACAAGGCCTGACATCGCGTTCGCCGTGACAACGCTGGCACAGTATTTGGAGAACCCGGGCTGGACTCACTGGGAGGCGGTAAAACGGGTCTTCAGATACCTTCTCGGAACAAGGAATCTGTCGCTGGTTTATGGAGCACGACAAAACGAACTGGAAGGATTTGTGGATGCGGACGGGGCCTCGCAGGAGCACAGGCGCGCCATCACTGGGTACGTGTTTCTTGTCGACGGCGGCGCGGTCTCTTGATCCTCGAAGAAACAGGAACTTGTCACGCTATCGACCGCCGAGTCCGAGTACGTTGCCGCAACACATGCCGCAAAGGAGGCCATCTGGCTTCGCTATCTCATCGGCGAAATCCTCTGCCCCCCTTCTGAGCCCACCACCCTCCATAGCGACAACCAATCGGCCATCGCACTCACGAAGGACGGGTCATATCACGTGCACACCAAGCACATCGATATCCGGTATCATTTCATTCATTTCACCATCGACGCCGGCGACATTCGACTTATCTACTGCCCTACCAACGATCAAACGGCTGACATCCTGACGAAGGCGCTCCCCTCCGTCAAGGTCAAACATTTTGCTGCCGCCCTTGGTCTCGCACCTGCTTGAGGGGGAGTGTTGGAGTGCGTACGGCGAGGCAAGCGTGGTGCGAGCCTCGGCCATGTTTCGGGCGGACAAGTCTTGTCGCGCCGTTGACCTGCCTTGTCCCGCCTTGTCCCGCCTTGGCGGATTCACCCCGTTTTGTTTACGAATGCCACGTCTCACTCATCTTGTAGTACGGACGTCTTGTTACAAATGTGTACTTAACTCTTTCGATTCACGTTGGCTCACCTCAGTCCCGCGTATAACGCGTGCTGAGGTGAGCGTATGCTTGTTACTTATTCTACTTACTCATACTGATTAATACGCTGTAGTTACATTGCTATAGGTATTACAAATATACTAGTCCCGCGTATAACGCGTGCTGAGTTACATTGCTATATATGGGTCCAAGTCCGTGATGTTTTCCTGATGTTCCTGCCACGCATGGCATTGCTGCTGGCACGGTTTCGCACATTTGCTGATGTCTATGATTGGATCATATGCCTGGGCCAGGAGGTCTCTCTCAATGGAACTGGCACAGCAGGTGCAGCTGGGCCTCTATCGTATATGCGCTCAGTCGCTATCCGTTACTCGTCCAGTATGTCCTAACGATTGGGGCTGCATTTCCAATATCTTCTATGGTGGGTTTCCAATACAGATTTGCTCTTCTGAAGGTGTCTGCAACATCCGTTCCAGAGGTAGCGTGTTGTTCAGCTGGCTGTAGTCTCTTGTACTCGACCTGAACTGGCATGTGATCGGGCAGTTGCAACGTCATTAGCCAATTTTAGATGGTCGCCAGTCTCCTGAGTCTCCTCGCTCTCTGCTGTATGACCCTTCTTCGCATATACTTGTTGTCTATGCTGATGGCGCTTGCACACAGTGTTCTCTACAATGCGAGTATACGCAATGTCGGCAATGAATGTCTACCTGGCCACAATCACACTCGTATCATCAGCAAAAGTGTAAAAATATCCTACAGGATTGCGGACGTTGCCTGAAGCGCCAGTTGTGGCACGGTCTTGCAATACCGGAAATGTATTCCGAGAGCACGCAATACCGGCAATACCTCGCAATACCTGCGATAATGCGAAATATTGCCTGGTATTGCCGATATTGCCTGGTCTTGTGGGATATTGCAAGGTCTTGCAATATATTTACGACATTGCAAGACCACCCATGACAGCGCATGATCTGACGTATATTGCGCGCTCTCGCTGAGTATTGCCTAAACGGGCAATATGGCAAAAGATTTTTACACTTTTGCTGATGATTCTCCGTCATTCCCGTCATTACCAACCTCGTGAGTCTCCTTTGTTTTACTGTGCGCATGGATGTTATCTTACCCTCAGCCAGATCCAGGATATTGTGTGGTTCCAAGCGCAGAACTTGCCGCTACCATTCAGCTGTAGCTTTGACAACCCGACACCTCAAAGGATTCTAATGATGTAAGGACTTGATCTGGGTAGTGGAACACGGTATTGAAAATATTTTCAGATGTAAGATACCTTCACACATGATCTCCAATGGATACTGATCGCCGGCTGTTCAGTGATAAGCCTCGACAGAGGGGCGTTGATCATAGCAGACTCAATTATCCTCATCACGACCTGGTGGTACACATACAAGGTCTACAGACTCGGAGCCCGGCGTGGCCTTCATGATGCGACTTCTCTACCTTCTTTCATGTTGTACACTGGTGAGTCCCTGTCCCAAGACAGCAACTTCCGAGATCCTACTGAGGACCTGGGTCTCCAGGGAGTTTGTACTTCATGTCAGGTGCATTGCAGTCTGCTCTTGATGGGTTGGCCTGCTCCTCAGCGTCATCGGCTCGTTTTACGTAATTGATCTCATGCTAGTCTTCCTTTGTGTACGTCCCCTGTCGTCAAAGCAGTATATCACATCGCTGATACCACAGTTCAAACTTCAGTGCAATCAAAGCACCCTCAACCTGGAAAGCGGCAATGTGTCCCCATTCGGAGACGTGTACGTTCCGTGCTTTCTTCTATCTGCTTCTCCTTTGAGTCGCTGACATGCACGAGCGTTCTGTCGACGTTAATCCCTTTGTTGTATGCTGGCAAACCACGTGTGCGCCCGACTCAAGGCTGTCGCCCCTCCTGATATCCCACTTCATGCTCAACCTCCGCCAAGTGAGCCGCCACAAAGCCCAGGGGGCGGACGATTCCGTCTCGCAGGGAATCCAGTTCTACGCGCAGTCGCAGACCACTCGGACGATACCGCATTCTCTCACTTCCTTCGCAGAGCTGGTGCATGTGGAAACTAAGGACCCGGACATGGAATGGGAAAGTGAACGAGACATGAGTGCAGGCACGACTTTCAACAATATTCAGCTGGTAGGTATCGATCCTACAAGCTGAGGAGCGAGATATGATGTTGTAGAGAACTGTGCCAGGAGGGTGAGTCACATTGGAGGAGCTTGAGGTGAGTTCTCCGAGACTCTCATGACCCGTATACCAATGGAAAGATGACGTGCCTGAAATGATAGCGCTGCTCAGTACGAGCACATTCTCTCCCGACGCAGGTTTCTCCTATCCCGCCGCCTCACCCTCGCTCGCTCGTCCTTTGGTAGCTTTCTTTGCCGTCCGCCCACTTGCCCCTTCTAGCACATTTCAGTATGCACTAAACTTGCCTGGCAATACCTATCACTCTGAACGCCCACGCCTACCAAGGGGCACCTCCCGCGGTTGTTGATCGGACGAAATCTCGTTGGAGCGCGCCTGCCCACCCAGCGGCTTGGCTCCACGGCATCCCAACCCAGATACGCCAGTTCTCCTATCCCTACCCACGCGACTGCTGAGTCCCATGATTGTGTCCCTAAAGCATAGCCCGCTGATGAGAATGGAGTTTCGAGAAGCTCAAGTTCAAGTCTGCTAAACGAGCGGGCATTCCTGTGTGAGTCCGCTCCTGCCCTTCGTACGTACACCACCACTGTCGATTCGCGGGTGGATGTCGGTCAAACCGTTCATTCAGACGTTTCCCCCGATCACGGAATCGCTCTTGGACATGGTCGACGGCAAGGTTGGGCTGCCAAAAGGCATTGTTGCGGGATTACATGAACCTGAGCCATTCAGCAGGTACAAGACGAGGGTCTCGATCCGGAAGAATGCCGAGTCTAGCATAAGGGAGTTTGATAGAGGTAGTTTCGCGCTGTTACTAACAGATTCGAAGCCTGTGAATTATGGGAGCCAGGAGCCCTTAGCGGACAACAGGTGAGCCTGCCATCAGCAAAAGTGTAAAAATCTCGCTGTAGATTACATACCCGTGCCTGTTCAGGGAAGTGTGGAAATATAAGGCATGACTCGAGTACTATTCCAATGGACCTGTCGCGTTTCCGACACAAAGCAATGTGGGTGGACCACCTGCACGACCAGGCAATACGTGGAAATACCATGCAATACCGCCAAGATCTTGGTTGTATTGCCCGGTATTGCTCAGATTGCAGTACCACGCGATGACAGCGTCCGAGCCCCAGACCTTATGGTATTGCTGGAATTGCGAGACGGGGCTAATGCAAAAAGCTGGTGGAGTGTGAGGCAACAACGGGCTTATGTTGCATGATAATCCGGACCTCCCTTCGGAATCCTCGTATTGGGCGATCGGAGGAGGCCAGGGAGCAGATTCTGTACTGCCGAAATGGAAATAATCTTCACTTGCATTGAAGGTATGTAGTCAGGCTTAGGAGGAGGTGCAGAGAAATATATTGCAAGTCCAGAATACACACAAGCTACGTATACACGACGAGAACAGACCAACCTGCACTATTGGATATGGAACGCCAATGAATGGATACTGACTCGGGAGGAGGGCAGGCCTGAGGGCGACGTGTGTGAGTATGCAGACATCTTCGACAGATGGGGAAGACGGTACTCACTAGCCGATGACTTAGCCAATGGTGTCTCTCAAAAACACTGGGGTGCGTGATTCAAACACATGCAAGAGAAGGAGCGGGGATGGCAGCCCTCGTACTTACACATATTCCGGACCCAAGGGAACGCGCTTGAAATGCTAGACAGTCAGGTTTGTGTCTACGCCCATCACAGGGTGGCATCGTGATTGTCCTTGTGGTCGATCAAATATATCAGCGGGACGCAGAAAACAAGGCAGATGTGGCGCGGTCTGAGTGATGGCTACCTACATGCTAGAGTACTGAAGTGCGTGTGTTCGAAAAGGCCTGTGATTCCATGTGTCTGAACGGGTATCAGCAAATGACCTCGAGGAAAAAAGATGTTCACTCACTTCATTGCGGCTTCTGTGAATGACTGGGATCATGGAATTAATGTCTCAGTTCTGACTTTTGCTGACAATACTCATGATCGTGTGCGACACATGCCCCGAGCACTCATTCAATGCTTTCGACCTTTGAAAGCCACAACTCTGAGGAGACATGTGCATGTCTCCGTGCTTGTAAGTGGCAATCACGGTCATCCGAGTTCAGTGGACTCTTCTGAGATACAACTCTGGGCCATAATGTGAACATGTACCCATGCACAATGGCGGAGCCAAGTCCGACGGCATCGGCATGCAGTGTGGAGAGAGCACAAAACACTGGACAGTTACTGGACATAGCAGGAGACTTACCTTGTGTTGCGTCAAGTAGACTTGGGTATGCGACTTGTACCTGGTCCACAAGAACCGGCGGGCTGCTGGAGAATAGTGGAGGTGGTGGCTACATGGGGGTGAGCATGGTGGTGGTACATACCAGGAGCCATAGAAATACTGGCCTCAGGCTAGCGGGACAGCGATGGCGCTGCAATGAGCAAGAGCCAGGAGATCAGCGCATATATGCGCCTGAAGATGTACATACAGCGCACGAATGCTGCGCAGTGAATCCTTCGGCTTGAGGGTGAATGCTTGTAAAGGTCACCGACGACAGTTTGGGATTTGAGGGAGGTAATATGAGAGAGATCGTATGAGTATGAGGGAAAGAAGGGAATTGACAGCTTCAGCGCGAGGACACTCTTTATAGCGCAGAAATGGAGAGCTATGACGCGCATAGGCGCCTATTCACTGGACGCGTTCAACCCCGTTGAATACGTGCTCGCGCTGGCAAGTGGGTGAGAGGAAACTTAGCTACCGGTGTTGTGCTCCCTCTCACCCTCACCACTGCGTGTATGCGCACTTGTTCAGGAATCTGCTGCTGCTTCTTTCTGTCTTCATCTACATGCCAAGGGAACTTTGTTGTGGGTGGAAGAAGCAGCTACTAACCTAAACTCTCGCCTCAAGACCTGCGCAAAGGCAGACAATTCTACTATAGCGGGCTACAGCAACACATCAACGTCAAAAGCAATCTAAGACTTATCTCAGAAGCCATTGATTAAGAGGACAAATAGCAGTTGAAGGTTGCTGAAAAGTTGGCGGAAAATCCAGCTACAGGTGAGTAAGTCAGCGTCGCATGTGTCTCTTCTGCCGGCAGTCTCAAGGTCTCTACCCTCCCTCCGATTTCCTGTCCGTCTTTGCTCACCACCCTCATTTTGTTCCAGCCGTCTACATCCCACCGTACAAGCACCCGATACAAGGAAAAGTACATGAGG